ATACGTGCGTACATACATGCATACATGAAACGCCCACACACACACACACGTGTACATACATACATGCGCGCACACACACACACACACACGTGTACATGCATACATACATACACACATGCGTACGTACGTACGTACGTACGTACGTACGTACATACATACATACATACATGCCACATACACACAAACAAACATACATACAAACATACATGCATGCATGCATGCATGCATGCATGCATGCATGCATGCATGCATGCATCCGTGCATGCAAGTATGTAAGACTGAATGTATGCAAGCATGTACATACCATATCTACGTGTGTTAGTACATGCGTCTGTGACAGCATACACCTATGTGTCTAGATATGCGTTTGTGCACGAAGACATACATGTGCTGGTATGCAGGCATGTAAGTCTGTCCGAGACTGTCTGTCAACCAGTTTGTCCGCCTTTCCGTCTATATGTTTGCATGCCTGCATGTCTGTCAGCCTATGTGCCTGCATGTCTGTGCATCTGCATGAGTTTTACGGGGGGGGCTTGATAGTTAGAAGCACTGTAAATGTGCTAATAGCTACTACGATGTGATTGTTCAGACCTCTTCCGTGGACCCCCGAGCCCGAACACCTAAGGACAGGCTCCTGCACTCTTCGCCCTCGCACTGGACTTCGTACTCCGGACCTTGGCAGTGGCGAGGGGAGGGCTTCGCGGGGGGTAGGGGTTGGGGAGGCTTTGGGGGGGGGCGGGCAGGGGAAGGAGTTTGGGGGGTTTGGGGTTCAAGGTTTCGGGTTTAAAGTCTAGGAAAACGTGGTGCTGGTGGTGGTAGTGGTGCTGGTGCAAAGGTAGCAGCCGCCGTTGTCAAGTTGTGGTAGTGGTGATGCTGTGGCGATGCTGCTTGTCGTTGCACGCGTATCAGTAGCAGCAGTACTAGGGGGCATCCAAATCACGGTAGTGAAGGTAAATGCAGTCATCATTCAACGCTCAGGACAGGAGGGTTCTGAAACCAACACTTCACCAACACTTCCAAGGAAAGCATGCGCTGTGGTGGCAACTGAGCTCTCTGCAAGCAAGACGCTCTGCGCCGTTCCAGAAACAGCCAGAAATCGATATCCCGCATTCGGCTGGGCAAGCGACTACAGTCTGCCAGAGACCTTCATCAACAATAATGGCCGAGGCCACCCGGGCTTCTCCACAACAAAAGAGCGTACAAAAGCAGACGTCAGACTCCTCGCAATCAGCCATTCCTTCGCTCCATCTCCATCACAAAACGGCGCATCGCTAGGGAAAGTCTCCTACTAAGGCACCAGGTCCAGCAAAACGGCCAGCCGCCCCATTGCTGGAGTTGATCTAATGCATGGGCGGCGAGCCTGCTCGAAATCTACTTCCAGCACCTACAATACCTTGAGAATTCCGTCCGCAAAAACGAAAAGCCGCAGGTAACAGCTCGTGGCCAGTACAGGTGCAGAAACTGCAGCGACGCAAAACTCCCCTGATTTCAAACTTAAGGCCCAACGAGGACGGGAAGAGCAATCTGCCAAACGAAGGTTTGCACCGCAAACCCTGCACCCTGAACCCTCTCAGCCCTACCGTAAGGCCGGAACACACAAAGCGCAAACCCTTCACCATCGAGACCGAACTTGGCGAGAACGCTGCAAGTACACTGATTAATGTAGGGTTTTAGGGTTTGGGGCTGAGCAGGCTGGTAAGGGACGAGGGTTTAGGTGGTTTTCGCACCTCAACATCTGGGTCCTTACAACAATCCTTATTGACGAAGGGAGGCTATATTAAGCCTACTCTTACAACTCGATAGAGGACCGTAACCCCTAAGCCGGATCTACATCCCCAGCCCGAAACCCTAAACTCCCAAATCCTAAACCCGATCTACATCTTGAACCCTCAAAGACCAGACCGTAAGCTACAAACAAAGCTACCTAACCCTATAGAACCCTCCAGAACCGCACGAAACTTCAAAAGAACATAAAGCCCTGTAACCTTCTCGCCCTATAACCCCTCTAAAACCCTGCAAACCCCGAAGCCCAAAGCCATAGCTCACAAACCCATGCCTGGCACGTGTGGAGCAGCTCCGGAATGTCGTATCTCCTTAGGCTCGCGACTTCGGGAATAGTGATAGCTCGGGGCACTGAAGTTCATAGCCGAAAACCCCACCCCCACCAATCCCGAAACTGCAAAAAGCGAGTCTGTAAGAAGTTTGGGATCTACGACTGGGTTTAGGGTTTATAGGGTTTAGGTCGATTACAACTCGGATGGGGCTCTTGGAACAGAAAAGAGGCTGTAGCCCAGAAAGCGAGGCGCCGTACAGCCTAAGTAAACCGTATGTTTGCTCAAATACCCTCAACCCCAAACCCTAAACCCCTCAACCGTAAACCCTCAACCCTAAACCCTCAACCCTACACCCCAAACCCCAAACCCTAAACCCTAACACCCGAAACCTTAAACTTGAAACTACCCCGAATACCCTACTTCCCGGATACCCTTGTACCCGCTAACACCCCAAGCACTGAGTCACCAGGCCATTTTGTGGTTTAAGAAACCCTAAACCCTAAGCCCTAAACCCAGAAAGTAGCTTTTTAAGGGCTTGTGGCAATCAACCCCTAAATCCCGAATCCTAATCCAACCCTAAACCCTCCCTGGTCCCTAAATCCTAGTCCCTAAAGCCCTAGAACCCCGTCCCTAATCCCTGAACCCTAAAACGAAACCCTAGACCCTCCACCCTGAAAGAATCCTTTACAGAACCCCTTATAAGGGTTTTGGGTTTAGGGTTTAGGGTTTAGGAGAATCCTTTACAGAACCCCTCATAAGGTAACCCAAGACCCCCTCAACCCGTAAAAGATCCCTTTAAAGAACCCCTTAAAGGAACCCAAAACCCCCTCAACCCTTAAAGATCCCTTTACAGAACCCCCTTTAAAGAACCCCTGAAAGGAGCCTAAAACCCGAGCAGGCCAGGTGGCTCCAGCCGCTGGAGCAGCTCGGAACAGGCTGTGACCTGCCCCGGGGGTTTAGGGGGGTTTAGGGGGGTTTATGGGGGTTTAGGGGGGTTTAGGGGGGTTTAGGGGTTTAGGGTTTAAGGTTTAGTAGTTCCCTAAACCCTAAAACCTAAACCCTCAACCCTAAACCCTAGGATTTGGCATTCAGAGGTCAGAGGTCAGGGCTTATGGG